GCAACCAAAGTACCACGGTTCCACTGTTATCCCGGAATCCGCTCGAACTCGAACTCTTGTCAGCACTATCCATTGTTATCAATGCTGATTTACGATATCTCCCCTGCAAGATATCACAATTATCACTACTAACAAAGATACCGGAACTCAGTGTGACTCCATACAGAGCAGCATAGCCGTCTAGCCAGAATCGCTTGCCACAGATGGAAGAGCAGTAAGCGGTAGCCATAGAAGTCTTCCGGACAACTCGCAACTGAGTAGCCTATTGCAAGCGGGGAACACAGTTTTACTCGCAAATGAGTAGCCTGTTGCAAGAGATAACGTAGTTTTCATCCTGCAAATGCGTCAAATCGTCCATTGAATGGATGAAATTACAGTGAGTAGCCTGTTGCAAGAGATAACGTAGTTTTCATCCTGCAAATGCGTCAAATCGTCCATTGAATGGATGAAATTACAGTCTGGAAAGCATTGCCGTTCCTTATGTACTTTGCCATAGTTTTGGCATATATGTATCAGCGAAACTGCTTGCTTTAAGGGGACCCCAAAGTTGAGTAGCTTTAGTCGACCTCCAAAATTCAGCTGCTTACAATTCAGTTAAACTCATTCAGAGCTACCCCTGCATGTGCGAGAAGGACCTTCAAAAACTGGCAGCAAGGTTCGATGTTTTATCTTCGAACTCTGAATTATATATCATAACAAACAAAAAAACTAATTCATCCTAGTATTAGGGAGTTTGCCTAGTGAGCACCGTTTTTATTGCAGATGATACCACTGAAAAGTGCTGTCAGTGAAGCCAGCTTAAAGACATCAGTGGTGAGTGAAGCAGGCTTGTACCGTTCGGCAGCTTCTATACACGGGAAACATGCTGCTTGTCCATTATGAGTTAACAGCCGACAAAAGCTTTTTGAGTGTAGAAGCAGTCAAAGTATTCTTCAAACACCATGTACATCTGTAAAACTATTTAGGATTTTGTAGTAGAAGACAATCGATACATATGGAGTAACAGGCTTATGTCGAGATCGGTCAGTGAATTCGTCCTTAAACTAGCTGATGTAGTGTGAAAGAATAGAACAGAAAGGGAGTACCGGCTCTACGAGCATAGCAGGTTGACTCCTAGGCAGCTGTCTTGCTGTATAGTCGCTGAAAGTTGACACTACCACCCATAGCCTGAATGGGGATTGTTTCGTACCACGAAAACGTTCCTACTCATATCATTGCAAACATACGTGCCTGAAAACCTAGGTTGCTCTTTTGAAGGGGTAACAGGCTTTGCACCCAAACGGCTTGGACATCCACAGTCCGACGGGGAGTCGACATTGAATCCTCATGGATGGCCATGGTAACTGCCGGTAGCTGTGACCGTGGAAACCACGGTCAGGCACCCTTCAGAATAGAGTCAGAGACCAGCATTTGGATAGCAGAAGCATAGGGCGCTTGAGAGCGGCCAAAGATGTTTGACTGATATTAAAGTTTTTGTCTCCAAGTAGTCAGCAATTCCTCATAGTCGAACGAGAAGCCGACAATCATTCGCCAACTATTAATACGAAGATTTGGTTTTCCTCCATTGTAATTCTCTTCGTCCAGAATACCACAGCTCTGAGGAAAGAATTCATGAAACACAAAAAGTACAAGCCTCCCGATTATACATATGATGCTTGTAAGAAACATGAAGAAAAAAACAGGCACGTGCGATTAATTCGAAAAATAATCTGAGCGGGGAGTCATTTTCATCGACCAGTCCTCAAGTAGTTGAATCACGACTGCTTCCAGATATGATGACGTTATTTGTATCGATGCTACTCGAGTTATACTCAAAGACAGACCTCCTGAAGATGACTACATTCATGCGAACTGGATGATCATGCCGGATAATCAGAAATACATATGCACACAGGTATGAGATTTTTAGGAGACTTGGTATCACTGTGCCTCATCTTGGGCCCTGTTGCCCTAGAAGGCTAGGCTTTTTAGAGAAAAGGAATGTAGTGGGCGCGTTCTGGCCAAAAAGTCACCCCAGTCAACTTACTCGCTATTATAATGTTCCTAGAGACAAATCGAGAAATCACCTTTCACGTTTAGGGTCCAATCCAGGAGACCTTGGAAGATTTTTGGCATATGAGCTTCACAGAGAAAGGAACTGTCATTGTTATGTTATGCGCCTTCAAGGAAGGTAGAATTACCATAATTTCGTCTACAGTATCAACCAAATAAAGAGGGCGTGGCTTAATCAAGTGCCCCATAAACTTCTACTTTTTTAACTCAGGAAAAAACGAAAAATGTGCTTTGTATCACCCGAAAACGAAGAATGAGTGCGGAAAGTTTGGACCGTACAGAGTCTACCTGAAGGAAACCAGACCAAACATCTCGGTTTCAGTCAAGCATATAGTGTTGTGCGTGAAAAAAGACAGAAAGTAAATACCATCCTTTGTTTATTTATTTATCTATTTATTAAGCATGCGACTTCACGCGCCTTAACTAGTTTTGTTGAGCAGCCTATTTTTAGGTACTCTCTGGATGTTCATCATCTATCATGTACGGAATGGCCTGATCATACGGCTCCTTTTGATGCTGGTCCCATAGTGCACATGATGAAAATGGCTCGGCTACTAGCCAAAGGAAATCCGATTATTGTTCATTGTTCAGCGGGAATAGGGCGCTCAGCTACATTTATTGGTACGTGCAGGAGAACAACTCCAATCAACTTTTTCTGTCGCACTCCCCTAACAAATCGAAGCTCGAATATTCGAGTCCGGCTGAATGCTATGCCTCTTTGATCATTTTGTAAAGTGGAACTATGCATACAAAGAGCATGTTCAGGTATTGACTATGCAATGCAGAAAATTAAAGAGGATTCTAATACTAGTATGGTGGAAGTAATGAAAGATCTTCGTAATCAACGTTTTCAAAGTATCCAAGGCATTATCCAATATATATTTTTGCATATTTGTGTACTCGAAGCATTTGCAGATGTAAGTTTTGGTGAAAGAATAAGAACAATACCAGACGAGGTACATAGGCATGGGAGAGGGTACTTCTCCCCGAAAGTCGCTTCGCACCTGCTGCGCCCAGTCGCGCGCTATGAAGAGGAATGTTTGGATTCCCAGTAGAAGGATACGGTAGCCGCCACGGAACCACTGTTGCTTGCCGTGGAATTACCGAAACCTCCATAGTCTTTATTGGCTTACATGAAGCAGATCTAAACATCTCTTCGGCTAGGCTGGGACGTCCTACTTGCCCGAGCCTACTCTACAAGTGTTAGACCTGCCCTGTTCGATAAACTAATGACTGCTTCAGAAATTTAGCAACGGTCAACTGTGGAATCATAGGCCTTCAGCTCAGCTCAATCACAGGCCGGCTCGGTATGGAGGACGGGCAGGTAGCGCACTGGTTGACTAATGAGCAGTACCCCTTCATATTTTCTGAAGCCCTAAAAACTCCATTCATGGTTAGTAGTGGATACAAACCCACCGCAATACGGAAGCCGAAAAATGCTCTCGAATAGAAGGCTGATTCCATTAGCAAACTGGTGGTGGGAGGGGGGAGGGGAGGTAAGTTAGATCCCCACGGTGATTCCTCCAGCATAGCTCTCAGTGCTCAGGCGTTGTTCACTCGCTTCTCAAACCTTGTTGAGGTTCACTGAAGGCTATACGGCATCCTTTTGAGCTAGTGATGATATAGAGCAAAAAAAAAANAAAAAAAATTCAAACAAACAAACAGCTCTCTCCCTTTCAAAAGTATTCGAACGTAAAGCTTAAGTTTACAGGAAGGAATTATAGAACGTAAAGGAAAATATAAGAAATACATGGCCGACTACAACCGTATGCTGACATTATTCAACAAAAAAGTAGCAGCAAAAATGAAACAGCAAGAAGAAAAGAAATGAAAAACGGCAGCTGACTTACCCAAATTCCTCTCTTTCTTCGATCAGCTCAAACATTATACTGTTCTTAAATCGTGTCTAGTACAGTGCGCTGAAGCGCTTCCTTTCGCAGTTGTTTTGTAAATAATAAAGGCCAATAATGTACTCGTAGATTAATTATGCTTTATAAGCCAACTAAATGTAAGGAATGCATATGTATAGACTTCATGCTTCTCTCAAATTGATCATGTTCAATTATGACTAATTAACAATTAATAAAAGTATCGCATTTATTTAACTGTCTGGATTATTTCGAAAATAATTTGGTGACAATTAGGCTTCACAAAACGGTTTATTCAACTGGCGTGCGAGCGTCATGGCCTTTTCGTGACTTAAAAAGCTGGAGGACTCTTTAGAAACAACTCATCCAACCACTTTTTTCAACTAGTAGAGACCATACAACACAGAAGCAAATCGAAGTGACATTATATATAGAAATATAACGAATTGCAAGGGTTTCGATTGGAAAACAAAGGAACAGGGTCTCTCGATCCATTCAAGAAAACGTAATGCTTCCTCAAGTAATATGAGCGAAAAGATGTCAACGCCGTTATGAATGGTAGGGTACCTCAGGTTACGCCATTCATGTCGCCCTTCACTGGCATCGAGACAGGGTCGTGCTTGGCCATGAGCTTTTTAGAGAAATTTCCTTTGAATTCTATTCTTGCATATTGCGATTTCTCGTATTCATTTCTTCGAGGATAGTAAAAGTGTGATAAAAGACAGTACAGCCAGTCTCAGGCCCCAACGCGATTCGCCTTTTGGTAGATTCAGCTTGTGGTGCTTGAGGATGACCGTATGAATAAATGTTTACTCATGCCTGGTCCCACAAGGAATCGCCTAGGAAGCTATATAATCGGAATCTAATACTGATTGCATTGGCATGAAAACGATGCTTATTTTGGAGTAGAAGTGTTGCCTTATAGCGGAAGTGTATTGAATCGTGTTGCCCGCCTGTGCCGGTATTCACCCATCCCCACAGTATTCGAGGTACGATGCAGGAACTCTTTCTACAAATCGAATTCAATCATTTGCACATGTGTACATGTGCATGCTTTGCACCCAGATGATTCGTACGTTTTCTTAGAATCTCTTAAAACATCATATCAAAGAGAATTAACAGAGATCATATGAAGCGAAATCGGTAAGTTCATTTTTTCATTTGCTTCGGCGTACGAGGTATCGCAGCTGTCAAAGCCATCAGAAGAAGAGAGCAAATGATGATGAGAGTAAAACCAGCAGAAACTACCAACACCTGATAGGTCAGACAGACTCGCTTCACTGAGGCGGTGGGAGTTGGGTAATTCTGAAAATAGCATCTTTATCGTTCACTGTTAAATTTTATCTTGAATGGACGTGTGACTCCTACGAACAGTAACTTGATTCCAGCACCTAAGTTCTTCGAAATAACCCAATCAGGAGCACTAATCACGTAGCAGTTCCATTGCCGTTCTTATAGGTGAGAGGGAGGGAACGCTACGCAGGAGTATTTTCTGCCGGAAAGCGGCAAAGCGGAAGCGAATATACGGAAAGTATACGGCTTTATACCATCGAAAAGAATGGTTGATCTCCCTTACTACAAAATGTTGAATAGGCTCATGAGTCGCGAAGAGAGAGCTGCAAATATGAACACGATAGTAATGCATATCCACTAGAAGCTCTGTGATAAATAGACTTTCCTCCCTACCTCCTTGAGAACGTCCGTTGCGCCTATTTCACTTTCGAAATTGCCCTTGGGATTTCATTGCCGTAGCAATGGCTCAATGAGGGTGTTCTACCGTCTTTGCCTATGTTGTTGATTACATACTAGTGCGCAATAGTTTACATTAACCGAGTCCCGTAGAATGCGTTGTAGAAAAGGGTCGCGGTAAAACCGATTCAAAGAAATATTACACAAGTTCTCGTATTCACCATTTCGTCGATATCCAACGCCTTCATTTCAGCTCGAACGTCCAAGGTGAATGGCCTATCCGTGAAAAAACTGAAACGTTACTATGTAGTTGATGAGCAAGAAAAACAGACATTTAAGTAAAGTTGTAAAGCTTTTGCTGAGTGTTTGAATGAATTGACACTTTGCCAGTACCTTTTACTGCGTCGTCTTCGCAACAAGCGTGTGTCGACGGCAGAAGAAGGCTCTACTTTGTAGATAGGTCCAGGACCGAGCACCTGCAGTGGAGGCCCCGACGGATATCCTGAGGATATTGTATTCAGTGCTCTTTCCATTTTTTCTTCGCTTTTGTAGTGGAAGTAGTTCAGAGTACTTGCGCACTGCAGATAACAATAATAAAGTTCTCGTGCGTTAATCAGTCCCATTTCAGGGATGCGTCATTGCATTCGACTTCAATTCAGAATCGTAGTGGCGTATCAAACGCTTACGTAACTGTATATGAGTATGACTTGCAGTGGCCAGCCGATGTACTAGCCAGTGTTTTAATCCTCCCAGATAAGTTTGGTACCAATTAGGCGCCCGAGGGATGAAAGGCTTGGTTGGCCTAGGCGGAAATGTGCCGAGAACCGATGGGAATGACGCTGTTATCGCTGACTGTGGATCCCGAAGAACTTTCAGACCCATTTTGAATAAAATAACATAAGTTCTTTTAACTGAAGCATCCGTTTTTCTCACCTACTCTGCCTTAGCGGATAATAGCACTAATATGGAAAGCTAGAGGCTCTACCGTGTTCAGTGTAAGTATTTGAGTGCAAATGTGATTCTGAGTAAAGTCAAATGTATGGTGCATCATCGCTGCAAAGTTATCTCGCCTTTTCTTGAGTTGCTTCAACGAATTCAGTGGAGAGATGCAGTGAACAACCTCCAACATACATATGCCAACTTACCATCTTCATGACCAGATGGGGGCGCCTCATATGGATTAGCTGTTGTGAAAGCGTATGATCCACTTACTGGTATTGACGCATATGAGGGTCCTGAGCAATTCTGATTGGAATCCAAGAATTACTAAGTTTATTCATCAACTACATGTACAGAAAGCTGGTGTTCACCTTGTCGATAGTTGCTGAACACTCTCTTTGATGGCGAGCTCAATAAATCGGGACAGGCAGGTCTTTGGCATTCCTGAATATCCTTCTCCCTGAGGGATACAGTCATAGTACCCCAAAGCGGAACTTACGGCTGCTTCTTTGACTTGAATAGAAATCTGGCATTGATAAAAGAGGGAGTCCCTGTCAGCGTATTTGTAGACGTGGGCCTCCTGAAATTGAGCAAGTACCAGCACAGAACATTATGATGTGAGACCAGGGCAGTTCACAGAAAGTTGGTAAAAAGGTACGCGAAGGCAGGCTGGCCTAATTTGCCCCAGGTATAGCTACTATCCTCCCATTGTTAAGAAAAAAGTTGAAAATTGGAATCAGTTCGATAGATAAAGCGTACCTGTCCTGCTACTAGATCTTCTGGATATTCAATATTATTGAGCACGTATCGATCGATAGCACATCCATTTACATCCAAAATGTTTACCTGAGAATTGCCTGGGCTTTTTACTTTATTATTTGACTAGAACGATTTTTACAAAGACGACTGCCGGAATTCTAAGGGCGGAAGCTGGCTTTGCCAGAGAACCTCAACCTTGAAATGAAGTCGAAAACAGGAGATAGCTTACTCGATCTCCTTTGCCGTCATCTACAGTACAGCTATGGACAAGCATGCAGAAAGTGTTGACTATAAAATCGATAAATCTCAGACAAATGAACTCTGCAAATATAAAAAATTGCTAAGGAATTTGATAAAAAATAATACCAGTTTGGCTGGTGCAGGTCCATTGGTGGTAGACTTGTTGTCCGATTTTGCCAAACTGCAGGGGGCTTCCGCGTACACCTCCTTCCAGTATCTAAAGCAGAACTAACCTGGTGAGCGTTTAAGGTTGAAGTTAATACAACTGTATGAGAATACATCGAATTCTTAACGAGTGGGCTTGCTTATTGATATTGGGACTGTTAGCTTGGTCGAAAGTTCCCATTTCTCCATTCTCCACTGATATATCAGATCCTATAATAGCATGGAAACTGAGAGAGAGAAAGCCAGGAGAAGAGCTCACTATCAGACTCAGAGTCGTTGGTACCAGTCCAGCCTGTTCCAAGAAGTTATTACAATCATTCGGAGTCGGTCGATTGATAGTAGGTTTGCCCAATAGGATGAGAAAATCGGGAAACTTTACTGGAGTCAGCCAGAGTTACTAGCATACGATCAAGTACGTCCAAGATGGCCACTATGGTTGTGAGTAATACTCAAACCAAGGGATCGATCGATTAGTAGAAGCCGGTCCGACGGAACCAGTGAAAACAACTTGCTTGCTTTAAGGAATCAACCCCAGAAAACTTCACAGTCGCTGAGCAATTCCCTATCGTTCAGGGTTTTAAGACCTTATAATTACTCACAGGTTATTACTCACATCATATCGACATACAGGCATCGGTACCAATCCAGTAACGCTGGCTGTTGTGAGTTCTGCAACATCAATATTCGAACGGACATCTTTAGTGGCTTCCATATAGAAGCAAGAGACTCGATATGCGCGATCGACTTTAGTGAGGAATCGTGGCTGAAATATCAGATTCTTCTACTCACCGTTCCTATTGTTCTAACGAGGGCAGAACTGAAAGCACACTGTCCAGAGTCATCGTCAAGAGTGTGATAAAGAGAAGCATCGGAATTACCCACGTGGAATGAGATCACTACTGTTGTCAGCACAAAAATCCCCTTCGGATTGAGTGATCGAGTTCGCTGAGAACCACAACCGTCAAAGGGCACAACAATACCAGCCACTTGTCGACCGCCATCGTCCGAACGACACCGTTTGTCGAAATAGAAACCATGAAATTACTATATTCGTGGCAAATTCGGATTTATTGACTGATCTCTTCATGTAAACAAACCTTCACGTAAACATGTCCTTCAAATGAATTCCTGGTGTTGAAATTCACAGTTATCGTAGTCGAACCGCATTCGATTTCCGGCTCTCCTTCAACGCCGTTATCGACCGGTATTGATTGAGCAGTAGGGAATAAAATAATTGGCAGTAAAACAGTGGCCAGCAGCATTTCGAGCACTTGAGACGACTCAAACGCCTAGCCAAAAGGTGTTATGCTTGCAGAGCGAGGTTTGTTTTCTTCGGATCAGACCTCAGCCACTCCGGTTACTAATCCGCGTAGGCTGACGAACATTATGTCTTACATGAGAAGCATAATTGCCCGCAATCCAACAAAAGGCTTGATGTGGAGGGTCGGGAACTTACCAGAACGGAGTCCTTAAGACGGTGACTTTTTAATTGCTGTGGGCGATACAAAAGTGTCATGAGAGTGACAAGTTAGAATGGCAGTCTCCTATTATGGGTAACTCATTGTAAAAATTCCTCTGAGCTTTTTTTGTTTTTCTTTTAGTTTCATAAAAGCCCGTCCCTGCAATTTGTAACCTCCAACTAATGAACTCGTTGACTGGAGCACGCAGTAATTTTTCTAATCTAGGGGGTGTTTCCCAAATTTGCATTAAGTTCCCGAGACGAATTTCTTAACGAAAGGAATGTTTTGCACCCGATTCACTGGACTACTCTGGCTCGCGACAGGGACGAATGGAGACGTTACTGGCGCCCGCCCGAGGAAATCGACGATCAACGGGAGTACAGGTGATACAGGTGAATGAAAGCCCTGGAAAGAATTCGAGCCACGTCTCGCCAATCACTATAAATCAATTAAACACACTGCTCGAACAGGAACTCAAAGCTTTTAAAGTGAAAATAAATAAATAAATAAATATACGTGTTTTTACAATAAACGATAGCCACAAAAATGAGATGTTTATGTGAAGTTACATGATATGTACGTCAAAGGTAAACAAGTTTCCGAGAAATTCGAAATAAGTAGAGCTATATTATCAACAAGATCCCTAGTGATTTCAGATCAGAGTCGAATGCAAGTCCCCAACAGCGTATACCATGTCCATTTGTACTTTAGGAATGGCGAATGAACTGCATGTCTGAAAAAATACAGTAGGAATGCGTGTTTTGCCAAGGGGAGCTGGGGAAGGTGCTTTTCAAAGTGTCCATAATGAGGAGATGTTCAGCTCCGGCTCATACGGTCGACATTGTCACTTTTCAGCTGGGAGAACCCTTAATCTGCTCATAGACAGTACCTCCAACTTCATGTGTGGTTGTAGGAGAATCTTTTTTTACTGGTATTTGCCCTCCCGCAAATCCCTTGCCTTAGCTCCTTCTACTTTCGAAACATCACTAATAGGGCACTGAGCTATGACTACTTTACTCTAGTGTCTGCTGCACAGTGTACTGGGAAGCTCTAAACAACCATAATAAAAAGCAGTCTCAAAGAGAGCAATGTGGAAAAGCTTCAAACAAGAGAGCGACATTGTTCGACTGTGAATAGGGGTAAGGGATCAAGATCAGCGAACATTTCAAGGTGTCAGACCCATAACCGAAGGAAGAAATAGCAAAGAAGATCAGAGCTCACCTGGTACCACATCCGTTCTTGTGTCAATTTGCCTTCCGTTCCGTTCAGCTTCTTGATCACCGTTATTAGCTTCTCATGAGCCGGTAATATGAACTCAACGGTCCGTCGGTAGATTGCGAACACATCCGGATCGAAATCGTAGTCTTCTTCAGGGTTCTGTCAATCAAAGATTTTTTCATAAAGCAAATTGTCCCAAGCAGATTTCAGATACGTATCTGGCATTTTTCTTACATAGTATTTCTTCAGTAAAATTTGAAGAATCAGTTCGGCAACGTCGTCGTTTACTGCGTATAGAGGCCCAACCAGCAGGCGCTTTACGAAATCTCGACCTGCTAATTCTCTTAACGTTCCGTATCCGAGACACTTGCCCTGAACTTATAGAGCTTATGATATGTATAATATATTGCAAAAAGTAGTAATGAAGAATATTCCAGAATTAAAGACATTGTGGGTAAAGAGTACCGAGAGGGGAGTTTTTAGAAGGCTCAGGAAGCTGACTAGCCAAGGCTGTGGCAGTGGAGGACGGGACTATTACCTATGGAGGAGAGATGACTGATAAACCTCAATACTCGAGTGAAGTCTTGAGGTTGTTCAGTTGCTCAAAGGTCCATTTAAAAAATGGAAAAGTATCTACCCTTTCATAGGAATTTGAATTGGATTCAAAAACTGTCCTTCGTTCTAGTTGGGCTCACAAATTATANTATATTAGTGAGTCATAGTGAAAGCTGGATGCGTGACGGGAACCAAAAAGAAGTCGTTATCGGAAAAGGTGGTGCTTTTACAGGAAACTGGTTCTCGAAGGCGGTATGAATTAGAGGTCAGGATGTTGTGAGCAAGAGAAATGAGGAATTTGCCTCCAACCGCACATTCAAATGAGCAAAAGCGGACGACACTTTCGCCTTCACTGTGGTCCAGTTCTCTAATAGGTAAGTTCCTAGGAGTAGATGGAGAGGATGTAAATGACGAGAGGTACAGGAAGAGCACTGACCGAATGCTAATGGGACGGGTTTTCAACAGGGCTGGCTAAGCTTTCTACACGTTTAGAAATACATACATTTTGCGCATCAGATTTACGGAAATGATTCCAAAGACTCAGTCGTCTTCGGTATAAAGGAATTATACTGTAACTGTACTTCTTTCTATGCCTCTACAACAGAATATTCATTGTGATTATCCTAAACAAAGCTGCGAATGAATTATGAACGGTTCACTCAAAAACAAAAGTTCATGGGAGGTTCCCCAAATGTGGGTAGCCGTAGCGGATACAGTAGCAGCTGTCTCTTGTTAAGGACCTCGTGGCAACCGGTTTTTACCGTCGCGATTTTTGCTCGCTCCAGGAAATCCTAGAAGTAGACGGAGAGGATGTAAATGACGAAAGGTACAGGAAGGTCGATAAGGTCCGTTTTCGATAAAATAAAGGTACAGAACTGAAACAGCCAATCTTCACGTGAAGGGGTTGCTTTCTTGCTTCTTCTTCTAAACTTTTGACAGGTGTGCCTAGAAATGGGTCTTACTCGGAAGAAGCTTGACCTTCGCAATTTTGATCCCTACACACCATTATGGCATTCATCATACATCTAAGCCTCCCTAGGTGTTTCCCTGCTTTTACTAAACTCGGTACCCTTAACAACATCGTTGTTTATCACATTTGGGCATGAACTAACATACCTCGTTGTCATATACAGCTCCAGTCCTGAAATTTTCCAATTCTGAAAGTTCTCGAATTGATCTCGTCTCTCCGCTAATCATTTCAACAAATTCCGAAACTGGATCCCATTTGAAGGTATCACCTTCGTCACTCAAGATAGCGTGGCAATCCTCTAGGCTCTCCTATACAAATCTGAGAGATAGTCCTATCTGAATTGTCAAAGTAATTATCAATGAAAAATGGCAAAATAATGGTTCCTCCACTCAACGTCAGAAATCCTGAGAATAGTAATTAGAAGTTACTGTGATCAATAAAATAAAAAAGAAGTAATCCAGGTATGGTGGTAAACATCCTCTGCGATTTCCTTAAAATTGAAGCTTAATTGGTTTGAAATCACCTATTGATATATATTATTTTCTATTTATTGTTCCGGCTGACGGCTGATCCAGCGGAAAAATTGAGTTTCTATAATACCCATGGGTCAATAAGTGTTTAGCTACGGTTTGCTATATGAAATAGTAAATTGTTGTTGGAAGAAAGCGAAATCACATCTCTGGAAATTCTAAGCGGGAAACTTCAGAAACTCACCATCAAATCGGGGAAACCGTTGGGGCAGTCAATTTTCACATGAATAAATCGTCGACCAAATTGTTTAAGTAGTCCGAAGGTGGATAATGTTGGTAGCAGATGATGCACTGAATGGATATGTGAAATTGAGTACGTGAATCTTTCGCAATCCTACTCGATATGAAATCGATTCTGCTTGGACAGCTCCGAACTGTTACCAACCTCTCATGTCCAGCTTCCCTTTATCGAGCAATGCCCCTATCTTTTCATAAACTGAAATTTCAAAATTTTCTAGTTTTTTTTTTACATTGTTCTTCTTTTTGTGCAAGTACACTCACTTGCGGTTTTCTGAGGGTCCGATTCATGGAAATATGTTATTTCTTATTTTTAGCTGCTTTGCTTTGACCGATGGCGACAACCTTTTCATCGGTGTTAACAAAGGAAAATAGCTGTCTTTGCCCTCTTGTTTGGTTGTGTCACCTAGTATTTGACCCCGAAAATGATGAAAAAAGCTGCACCAACTAGGAAGTGAAATTTGGACCCGCTAAGACTTTAGCATCGAACCTTGGTAGTCAATGCTCGTATATGATCATAATTTTGACTTACTTGCTTGAAATGCTACACGACTAGTTCCTTCAGTGACTTCTTTGAAGAGTTTCGTTCCAATTCCAGAGTGACGATATTCCTCTTTCACAAAGTAGGTACCAATCTGTGTGTAGTCTTTTTTCTTGATAGCCACAATACCTCCCATTATTTCGTTTTCTGGGAAAGATTATTGTTCTAGTATGAAGTATCTATGGAAGCTGAATATTTAGAGTCAATCACTTAGGTTTTTTGCACTGATAATCCGAATATTTTCCGTTCCGTACACTTTTTGCCAAGCTAGGAAGCAGTCGTAATTCAGCATATACCTGTCCTGTTCAGTGGATATAGCAGCTAGCTGTAATGATTTAGATTAAAGAAGGTAAGCAGTTATATAAAGCTCTCCAGATCAGACCTTACAGTACCTCATCGAAGTCAGCCTTCCCACCAGTGTGGAATTTGTACCAAAACCCGTGTTTTGAATACGCTCCACGCCATGGATCCCCAGCAGATTTTGGTAGAGTGCTTTGAAAGGCCTGAGAAACAAAAATGGACATTTTCGAGACCGACAGACAGACAGACAGAAAGGCAGTCAGGCAGATAGAGAGACAGACAGTTTAGTTATTGGAATAAATCTGAAATTGCATTAGCTTCTAAGCGCATGTTGGGCTCATATTACGACTTCCAAAGGTAATCAATGTGCAGATCGAGTTTTTGCGGTCTTAAGCCAATGTTATGTCTTTCACCCATAGAGGGGATCGTTGGAGGTTCGGCTGGTTCTTTAGGAAGTGTATCGGACAGGTTTTTAAACTTTGAAATTCCATAAAACGACCGTGTAAAGGATGGTCGTCTGAGCGAAGAGAACATAGGTGCAATCTTATCTGGCCATCAGGTATCAGATGAGAGGCTGAGGTGGAAATGGTCCTTTACGTGCTCAAAGATATAAGTAATCGAGGCCAATTTAGTAGTTATGCTCGTGTCACCAACTCTACTTGCACCAACGCCCTTACCAAGCCATTCATCTTCTTCATCTTTACCACAAGCCTCACTCCTAATCAACAAACAAATTCTGCAAAGCTTTGATAATTTGATAAAATAGGCAAATCATTGCGTAGAAAAAAAAGAACCAACCTTCATTTCGTACGGTTGTCCTGGAACTTCTGGTTTTTGACGTTTTAACACTTCTCTGAACGGTGGTGGAATATGTTCCGGACGAATGTTGTCCATTGGGCAGTAGTGTCAGTCGGCTGAGCCTGACCACTTTATGACTTGACTGTGGGCAACGGACGGCATCAAAGTAGCTGCGATTGAGAGCACTATGGTCTGGATCCATGTTGGGCGCCCTACGATAGACGATGGCGAATACGCTCAAAGGAGGAGCAAGAACGCCGAGTGTTCTACTACTTGACCTGGCAACGTAAGGCATTCTAATGTCAGAATGCAGATATCAGTTCTTATTGTTAGGCAGAGGAGAAGATAGCAGAAGAAGTCATCGTAAAGCAAAGGGAACCAGCGGGAATGAGACCAATGCTCCTGCAACTTCTTTCAACAAGACCGGGGACGGAGCGATCATGGGTGTTCAGATGACTTCTTGCTCGTTGATATCTGATCGTATTCAACGGGCTCAAGGTCTTTCGACTGTCAGCGCCCATTCCTCTGTCGTAACTCCTATTTTATTAACTTGTTGTCATGTTCCCATTTACAGACGGTAGCGGTCAGCAAGTAGTATTATTGCAATCGTTTTGCGGTCTAATTAGGTCATGGTTTTGTCTGACGCCTTCTGTCTGGAATTCGTCAAAATTGGTTCTGTTCAAAACCTAAGCATGTTCCAAAACATTAACAGTGTAAAGATAGGAGCATCTCAAGATCCAGTGTCGACCGGTCTCGTTTTTGGGATCCCCTACGCATTCTGCTTCCAGTAGAGTTGCTATAGCACTTGAATGCGTATATGACCTAAACAAAGTGTGGTGATGACGACGTGTGATGGCCACCTTATAAAAAGTCAAAGAATCTTTCTTCCCAAACGACTCGAGGTTGTGTGGAACAAGACTTCATTCTCGAACTACACGTGCGTCAGAGAGCTACTTTGAAGGTTCAATCAAAAGTTGAGCGTATAAAGGGAAACTGCGAGTCGTTTCTGATTCATGTTACGACCAAAGGTGTGCTAATTGGATTACAGTGACTAGTACGGAGATATAAATTAGTTTCGATTGTGTTCCGTCTCGCGAGTTGTAAATTGGGTCATATTTACATAAAACTTGTCAGAAATACTGTAAAATGGGAAAACGAACTAGCCAGAATGGGAAATCATGAAACTTCACAGAACTCTATTTCTGTCTTTACAGAGAAAGCTAATGATATGGGGAGAAACGATAAAAATGAATAAAACATATAACCAAGCCTTAGAAGTTGCTGGTCGCATCCGCCGGCGTATAGAACGCGCCATGCATTTGCAATTTTATTCAATATTTTACACTGGTCAAAGAGTTAAAGATAATGCATGACCTTGGTAAATAAATTTCAGGCGATCCGTCTATACTATGTGTATTTCCTCATTACTTTTATTTTTAATTTGGAGCTGACCTTATATATCCACATCAATGGTGAGTATAGAGAGAAAAGTGATCGAAATGCGGAGCTACATACTAGGTTACGCTAGTCAAACTTTTCCGGGACACTCATGTATCCTCTCTCGGGAAACAGCCAGTGTAGAGAGGGCTGAACAAATAGCTAAAGATTGAGCCGTACAGTTCACTATTACAGAAACTAAAATGATATTTTTGCTTACATCTATAAAATATGCGTGCTTATACTATACTCTATGCATGTGAATAGATTCCAGTAGCAATCCTCGTCAGACTCTCACTTTGCTGGGAACCAGTTCTCATCACTACTCTTACAGTCTGCTCAATGTGATAGACGGTTTTTTCTATCGTGGGATCCAATTATGAATTTCACCGCATACGAAAGTAGGTCGGGGTCGCCAAGCTCGTTTTTATAGGGGTTTATGGGTGTTCGTGCAAAGCGCGACTGGTCACAGAAAACTTAAGAGAATCGGAATGCGCCTCTGTTAACAACTAGTACAGTATAAATAGCCAGTAGTTCGTCATAATAGTATTCCAACACGCCGTCATCTATTTATTCCATGTGTTCAGAAACAGTTCTTTTGTTCAATCACTTTTTAAATCAAACGGTTATACTCTTTTTAATGTTCTACGCTCATAAATCACTACTGGAGTGCACTATCAATGTTTAAAGTGTGTTGCTTTGCAGATGCGCTGTCTCATTCTTCTGGTGGTGGTTGGCGCGGTGTTGGCTCAGTATGAGTCTCAGAACTCAGGCTACGAGAATGCAGAAATTGAACAGCCTCCCCCTCCTAACCCTATGTCAGCTGATGGCAACGATCAGCAAGGATATAACAGTGATGGTAGACTACCACCACCGGGAGGCAACGAAATAGACGACCAAAGTGGTCCCCGACCTGGAGGAGGTGGAGGAGGGCGACCTCGACCACAACCTTCTGGACCTCCACCACCACCTCCGGCACCAGTACCTCCACGACCGGGGCCTGCACCGTCACCCCTACCACAACCAACCCCACTGCGACCTGCTCCTCCACCGCCACAACCAGTCCCTTCATTACCAGCTCCATCACCACCCATTCAACCACCAACTGGAGGTTACTACGAGGGAGGATCACCATCTGGGCCTTCATCGGGAGGCAGTACTGGAGGAGGATCTGGAAGTTATGCCGGGGATGGAACACCATCTGGGCCTTCATCGGGAGGCAATACTGGAGCAGGATCTGGAAGTTATGCCGGGGATGGACCATCTGGGCCTTCATCTGGAGGTGATACAGGAGTAGGACCAGGAAGTTATGCCGGGGATGGCGGAAGCGGAACGCCCTCACAGCCATCCGGAGGGTATTCCGGTGAAGGAGCACCACCCCAGCCAACCTCCGGCGGCAGCACCGGCGTAGGACCCGGGCCTTCTCCCGGCGGCTATGATGGAGAAGGAACTCCATCTCAGCCTTCTCCTGGAGGTAGTTCAGGCGGTCAATCTGGACCTGGCGGTTATGCTGGAGACGATAACTCACCCCCTCCTCCAGGACCAGGACCAAGGCCTGGACCGGGACCTAGACCAGGATCAGTACCAAGTTCAGGATCAGGATCGAGACCAGGACCAGGGCCGAGACCAGGACCTGGACCTAGACCGAGTCCAGGGCCAAGACCAGCACCAGGACCAAGGATTCCTCCACCACCACCTCCACCTCCTGTAGGAGGAGAAGATGACATGGTAAGCTTATAAAAATGTGCTTTCCAGAATTTTTTTAAGAAGCCTCTTTTTACAGCAATACCAATCGAACGCCAACTACCAACAGAATGAAGCCATGAATCCACCTCCATCAATCAGTGCCAGTGGTAACGATGGTCTCGCCTACAGTAATCCTGTTCGTGCTCGCCGTTGAGCGTTTGACGGTGTCAGTGCCCGAACCTTCCATTATTATCACATAGGGCGGGTATAATAAAGCATTTTCCAATCTGACATTGAATAATCACTGGAATTACAACAAAAGAAGACCACTCGAAGGTTGTTCCATTGCCAATTCCGTAGTTCCGCTACAATGAACCGAAGTGTTTTCGAGAGCTCCTTCTACCGATCATCATCAGAGTACATCATTTTGTTCTATTCAGCAAATAAAACCTTTTTGAAAATGTTATTGGGTTTCCGTTCTGTCCATTCTGAACGTCACGTCTTCGGTGGTCTCACTGCCTCAACTCATTCGTAATGAAGCGATGATTTCCTCCCATTCTTTTGTTCTCTGTTATTCTCCCTAATTTAATTTTCTACTCCAAGAGACATGAAAAGGCGAGCTATTTTTGCTGTTACTAAGGGGTTTCTGTTAACTTTGCTTGTGAGTGATTGAATTTTGGCCTACCGTGGTCAGTTATTTGTACCAGGACCCACACGAGCGCACTGACACACATTGTATAGCTCATCTAAACGCCCCACTCTTCTTCATTTTTCTAGTCGCACTTTCGTCCAGCCCCCTATTCAACAATTTTTCGAAGCCTTTTTTAATTTTGGAAACACCGGTTCACGCAGTTTCTGCGCCTTCATCGCACTATTTTCATCTCATCTTACATTTTTCGTCATAAACTGAATTACTCAAAATTATAGTAAACTGTGTCTTTGAGGAATCATTCATGTACCTTAGGCTACGCCATGCATTACGGAACTGTTAGTAATGTTTCATACGGCCTTCCACTCATTCAAGCCGTCTGCGCCTCCATCGAGAGGTCCCTCGACTGTGGAAGCACTCCTTTGTTACTCCTGTTCTCAAAAAAGAACCTTCTTCGGATCCGGCGAATTATAGACCTGTTAGCATAACATCCTTGTTTTGCAGATTATTTGAGAAGACCATCAAGGAGCACATTCTGGAATATCTAGCAGCATGCCATATAGTCCCTAAAGCCCAACATGGTTTTATACTGGGTCGGTCAGTGGAAACAAATATGATTGAGAGACTTGAAGATTGGACCAGGGGCTGGATAATAACTGTTGCAAAGATGTGGTATATTTTGATTTTGCAAAGGCGTTAGATAGGGTACCGCATAAGAGGTTGCTCTATAAGCTCACGAATCTCGGATTTCACCCTGTTCTTGTGAGGTGGGTATCCAACTTCCTCTCTGGTAGGACCTTTCAGGTCCGAGT